ATCTTTATTCAGACATTTCATGTCCTTCGTGTTCTTCTTCTTCACTGTCCAACTGAGTATCAAAAAGAATTTAAAAAGACAAAAGTTATTCAAATTGCACCAGAAAAAAAACAGTGGACAGTGCCTTAAGAAAAAAAAAATCAAGATTGCAAGGACGGTATGTCTCCACTTCTGGGGTGCTGCCCCTGAAAATAAGTTATCAAATCAATTGATTGCCTACCATTGAAATATTATGGACTTTCCAAAGTGGTATCCAAAGGAAAAATCTTAAGAGGATTAAGACTTTCATTAGTTGTCTTACACATGCTTGGTGCGGATAATCCCCGAGACAAAGTCAAGGGAAATTATCAACGCACATTCTCCTGAGCTGGTCTCATGAATGTTTAAGACCAACCAAGCATATATTTATTCCCATTCATACATGGCTTTCAAGTCACAAAGACAAACCAAATTGAACAAATTATAAATATCCAATGACCTTGACAGTTTTACATCTTTTTTTTTAAGCAGCCCATTTTCTTCTTATGGTATGGTCCTTTCATGAGTAGTCACAAATAATCTCCTTATATGGAGATTGCTGTGCATGTAGCACATACTGCACAAGGAGGCACAGTGAGCTGGTGCTTTACCATCCATTTAAGACCAAACACATGATGGGGTTTTGACCAATAGGAGAGGCTAAACTATTCTAGTTGTTTATAAATAAGGGATTAAAGTAAAATGACTCAAAACTACCCAAATATTGGAAATCTGAGAACTGTTGAATAATTTTGCATCCATACAACGAACGCATCAAGTATGACTAGCATGTAAATTCTAAAATGCTAAAAAATTACTTTTCTCTCGTTATTATTTATCATGGTGTGCTCAGATATTTGTGAATCAAACTGACTGGAGCAAAATACTTGACTTAACTCGACCTCTTTCCTAATGACTTGGCTCGAGTCCCAAAATGAGTGACTCATTACAACTCTGTTGTGACTAACGGGTAATACATTTAACCACTGGGTCACATAAAATATCAACGCAGACTCACCGCCTCCAACTCTGGCCAAGTGTAGAAGAAGCCCAGAATCTTGCGTCGTATCAGAACCAGAAGAATCAGACCAAAAGGGAATGCCATAGAGATAATAGAGGTCTTAATGACCCACAAGACAATCAAAGAAACAATCTGAAGTAAGGTGAACATATGCATCTTCCATGCCTTGACCTATAAAAGACAGAAGAACAAGATGACAGGTGTCAAACAGATTAATAACAGGTGGTTCATCAGGGAACAACTTAAGTCAATCAGGAGGTTTAACTAAGGGAATAAATATGTGCTTGGCTGGTCTTTAAAGTGTTTAAGACCAGCTCAGGAGAATGGACGCGACTCCCGCCTGCGCCACGTTCATTTTCCTGACCAAGCACATATCTATTACCATTCATAAATACTGTTTTAGTCAGACAGTCAAAGAAGTCAATATAGGATCCATTTCCAAGGATTTCCATTCTATGGTTTATTCCTTGTGCAAGTAGTCAAGAGGAATCTCTGTACAGTGACATGCTCATGACAAGTTTTCATGCTGTGGCATACACAGACTCTTGACCAATCAGAATTGACTAAACTGTCTTGTATCCAGGTGCCAGTGCATTTTACACAGTGTGCATTATCAATCACGGTCACGTTGTGCACTGTTGAATAGGGAAACTGTTTATGAATAACATTTTACACCAACAAATGATATTAGCGAGCATTGTCTAAACTCAACTGAACTTCAAAAGTCTTTTTGAGATTTTGAAGCATAAGTTTAGGACATGTCTTGTTCCAAAGAGCTCTCAACAAAAATAGGGCGAAGTTGGAGTATGTGCACATATTACCAAGCCAACTCATCAGTCTACTCAGACCGGCAATTAATAAATAATCAATCTATATTAATCAGTTAATCAATAAGAGAATTCAACAAACCATGCGAACAAATTTCTTGTCAGGATGATGTTTGCTTGGCATGAATAAGATCTTGATTCTCTCGATGACCTGAATTCCACTTAAAGAGCTGAGACCAAGATAAAGGAAGACACCATAGAGGACAGCAATAGGGACCTCTCTGAGTACAGGTGCTAGAAAGTGAGTCAAACCTGAAAGAATGGCAGGAATAGATCATCAATTCAAACATGAAATCTGGGAATATGGACTTGGTTAAAGACATATATAGTAATTACAACTGAAAGTTAACATGAGGATGGGAAAGTCCGTTCACACTTGCTCTCTTCCTGAGGAATTCATTGTTTTTTCACAAAATGTGAAAAATTGTCCTATGGAGGGGAAAATCTCCAAGATTTTTCCCGCAAGCGGGAATGATAGTCAAGCTTTTTTGAAGAGTGGGAAAACATTTTCATGTCTTTTCACAGGAGTGGTAAAAGATCTTGCGAGCTTTTTCACACAAGTGGGAAAGCTTTTTCACATGAGTGTGAAAACATTTTGATGCCTTGAGAAATGAGAATGTAAATAGGTAGTCTTTTCCCACACTCCCCAGTGCCATTGACACTGTCACTGCCTTCCCAGTGCCATTGACACTGTCACTGCCTTCCCAGTGCCATTGACACTGCCACTTCCTACTGCCATGTACTGTGTGAAAATGTGTCTCACTGGTAAATATTACATTGACAGTTCTTACTGCAAATTTCTTTTAGTAAAACAGTTGGGAAATGTGTGAAATTAAAAGTACGGAAATTAGAAAAAGTGTGCTTAAAAGAAAAACAATGATTTTCAGCATCAGCAAGTGACCAGGAAATGTGTCATGATCTGATTAGCACATAATTTCCATGCTAGCCTTAGTTACAAGCATCACCTGTCTTTGATTTGATGCCATCCAAAAACAATATTGGGCAAGGGATTGAACTTTTTTGATAAAACTGTGATGATTTACCTATGAGCAAACTGACAGCAAAATTGGTCATGCGTTGGTCCTTGATGTGGTCCAATCGTGGCTTGACACCAGGAGCTTCTGTCCTTGTGAGCACACTCAGACTCCCCAGATGTGACACCGTCCGTACCGGCCCAGCACACATCCATGGTAGGCCAAACAAGCTCGCCAATAAGGAGAGAGCTCCCATCAGGAACAGATCCAGATGAAATCCTGTTCCTTTGCGTAGCTTGTGTTCTTTCTTGCTGACATACTGACTGTACGTTGGTAGCAGAGACAAACAATTCATGACAAGTTGATCCTACCACTCCATGAAAATTCATGACAGTTTGGGAGGACTTAGTGGGATTGAGGAGGGTAGAGCCAAGCCACTGTTACTTTTAAGAGGATTTCATCATGTCCCTTGAAAGTCTGCATGAAGAATACCATTCAGTTTCTGCACAGTGGAATCAGACCAACTCATAGCCATAATACTTGGGCAGTTCAAGATATCTTTTAGAAAGTAGACATTTTCAAAACTCACATTTCAAAAGTTTCCCTGGAAAAAAATTTTCTGTGCAAACTGGAAAACATACATAGCAGATAAAAATAGATGTATTTCCCACCAACACGTAGACAGAGCAGGACTAAATGCAACGCTAATGACAAACTGAAGATGACATGTGACATTTTCTGCTTCTTTGTGCCCAAAAGCCCTGATCTCCCTTTCCAACTTCATCTGACACAACTATCTGTCTGTATTCTGATAAATCATTAACAAAACATAGCTTGCTTCCTTGGTACATTCACAAGTTCAAAGATTAACCATTGCTTACCCAGTAAGCAGAATTTCCATATACAGCAGGATGAAGAGTAAAAAAGCAGGAACGATGGCGCCAAAGACAGCGCCAACTGGAAATGCATAGTTTATACCCAGAGGATTGATCAACCAACCACGCTTACAGGGATCGGTGGGGATAAATCCATCTGTGATGGTCAATTTCTGCAAAAGAAAAAGGAACAAACTGAACTTATTGGAAACAGCTTACGAAACTAATAATTCTTTAGATTTGATTGACTGTTGGATCCATCCATTTCAAATCCCAAAGTAACCCAGCAAACAGAGTAGAAAGTGAGTAAAGTCACCAGTTTGAGTCCTACCCCAGAAAGCCTTTATTTCACACTCTCTCCAGTTTCCCTAAAACTCTGAGCTTACAGAGCAAACCAGTCAGTCTTCGTTGAATGCTAAGACACTTCATTACACTAAAGCAAAGTGAATCAAACTATATGACATCAAAAACTGCAATCTCATTCTGACATTTCTGTTACCTGAAGGAATTTATTTTTTCTTAAATTCACATAACTTAAGGTGGATGAAACATTTCACAATCATTTTCTAAACCAAACATGAAAAAAAAAACTTGTCTAGAAAACCATCAGCATAAATCAAATACCAAGCACATAGCATTGTATAAAGATTTACATAACTCAACATTTATGCATACAAACAAGTATAAATTCTTACTTGCGTGTAGGTGTTTTGGATAAGATAATCCAGGGATACCATAAGAATAATTGCAATAGCGATGCCGAAGTTACCCATGGCGCGGCGTGACTGTTTAGAGAGAAAAAGTAATTCATACATCAGTCCTCTGTTATTTCTATCAATTCATCAACATTCATTCAGGTTTTAAAGGGGACTTAAAAACCAACTGGTCGTCTTATTGACAGACTTTGACTGTAAGCTTATATCATCTCCAAAAAGAAATATTTGTTTGCTTCAATGACAGCAAGCATAAAATGAGACACTTCTTCAGTTACTCACTGTCCTTCCCAGGAAACTGCTATTTCTGAGTATCTGCAGGAAGTAAGCGATGAAGAAGGTGCCGAAAGTAAGAATTATGGAGAGTAACGCTGTGTTCGGTCTTGGCGTCCAGTGTCCTGGTGAGCATGTGTCCCCATGGAAGGACTCTGCTTCATCATGGTATGTACAACTGGGATCTTTATGTATATTCCCCGTCGTCTGCTGAAATGTGTGACGGTAAGTTGTCTGAGGATCGAGTGTTGTCAAATGCTGAGAGTAATCGCCTGCAAACGTACTGCTGCTGCTGTAGTTGTCTGCAGCGAGGAGGAAAGATGTGTAGTTTGCCTCTGAGCTGTGATTGGATTCATGAGCTGTGTCGCCATGGTGACCATCACTAAAGCAGTAGTCAGTAAGCAAAGGATTGGCACAGACTGTCTGGAGAACAGGAAAAAGGGGAAAGAATCTCAATTGAGAGGCTGTCTTGAAATCAGCAATGACAGAGAGGTACTAAGAGAGGACACTGAAGGAGAAAAACTGACCTGGTAACTGGAAAAGATGCCATTTTGCTTTAGCTGGCGGAATTTAAAACTAGGGTGACCCAAAGTGAAACATGAGGACAGATGGACAAACCTGATCACCCCATCAAAACTACTCAGGGTGACCTACGTTGATATGTGAGGAAAGCAGAACTAGATAAAGTTGAGTGCAAAGATGACATGATAACACTCACATGGTACAAGCCCAGGTAAGTCTCATACAAGAACACCAATGAGATGAGGACGGTCAGAATCTCTTCGGTGAATCGGGTGAAGTATCGCACCAGAATACTGCCTTCAAAGGCCACCACAACGATGGATATCACAAAGATCCAGAAACCAACCCAGGTCCTAAAGGGCAGTAGCTCTATGCCTATTGTCTCACAGAACTGTCAAACAAACACATTAAAAGTCAGGTCATTAAGAGTTGCAAGATTTGGACAGATTAGAAAAAACTACTTCACTTTTGTTAAAAAAGAAGGGCAATTAGGCAACAACTTATGACATTTTAGAAAAATGACACAGTGCAAAATATTTTAATCATGAATTTACTACAGCTTAATTTTTGCATGCTTTGTCACTGATTTTGGTGGAAAGATGTTTCAGTAAGCAAAAGTGAACTTGTCTGATATGATGGATGGCACGATGTCCTTAGGCCTCATGACAAACATCCATCTTCAGCTATCTGTCAATGTTAAGTCTCCCTATTATCACATACATGTAAAACACTATCATTTGAAGTTTTCATTATTTGACTATTCAAGAGAGACAAAGTACATGGGACACATCATGTGCATACACTTGTGCATTTGTGCATGTCATGCAGTATCTACAACCAATTTTCATCTGAATGGGTACAAATGTACAGCATATTCTGTGGATAATGGATGCATAGTGATAATGGCATTCAATTGTCTATAGTATCCCTTTGTCCCCAGTGAAGGGGCACTTGTGTGCTACGTCCATGCTGGATAGACTATCACCAGTTACAGTGAGGAGCGGCAGGGTGCCCATGCTGTACAAGAATCTCTCAACTTACCACAGACATCTGTTCTTCAAATACCAGCAATGGTCCTGTAGCTCCTATGATGACCAGAGGTTGGCCAGAGAAGAGAGAGAATAACATGCCACAGACAGATGTAGAGACTATCATTTCACTCACTCCCATCCATTTCTTAGTCTTCTCACCTGAAGATATTTGAAGAAAAGAAATTTGAATCAAAGCAAGGCATTGATAAAACTTCATATGACCTCACCGGAAGAGATTCAAAGTGATTCAAAGCCATGGTCTTAGCTGACAACCTGACTCAGAACAACAAAGGGAAACTTGACATTTCAGCCTCAATTTGGAACTTTTTGGGATCAATTTTTCTGGCAAAAAAGGGCTAATAATTACGCAGGCACAGAACACGATGTTTAGGAATAGTTTTCCACTTCATTTCTCAAATGTGGGGGACTACAGGAGACTAGAAGAAGACAACTCACTCAGCAAACCACCAAATGTGATAGCCGGTGACAGACAGGCAAAGTAAATGAAGACAAAGGCAGCAAGGCATTGAAAGTTGAAAGCATCAGTGATGTCACTCCAGTAATGAGGATATCGGCGTTTGACATCATTGACTAAGCCACCAAAGATTCGACCGGTTCGACGCAGTGGATCAAGGTTTAGCTCCATGTGCATCTTCTTTGTTAGTGCAATCACAGCTGAAAAGGAAAACAAATAATTTGATTACAAGAAACAAAACGTGCTCCCAAAAGTTGCATCTGCTTCCAACATACGAAAAATATGTAGATGGATTTTTACATAAGCAGGAAGGACAGACCGATGGCACCTGTTAGGTCACATGACCAATAGAGGATATCAAATATCAACAAATATGGTGTCCCCCACAGCAAAGTGTGTTGTGTCATTTACCAAAAATAAACTTTCCGGTCAGTACAGTACTCAGAATATCGATGTGCTGAGTACTATACTGAAAATCACTTTAATTTTGGTAACCAACACTTAAAACACATTTTACTATTGGAATGATATCCACTACAGGTCACGTGACTTAGCGAGGGCAATCGGTCTTTAGCATCAAAAGTAAATTGGCCTTAGAAATGATGGGATGGTTCCACCACGAAGTGAGGTCTGCGATGTTTTGGTGCACCGCAAAGTGATGCACTGTCCAAGATATGTCAATTTGTGGTGCAACCAATGACATGCAGTGGTTCTTTCTCAAACTATTTCAATCTAAATTCAGAATGATTTTCACATAAAAATCGTCTAGTCCTTAGTGTCAATCTCTGGAAAACAGAGGAAGCTGTTGGCTGGTATCCGGGTAGGAAATGTGACATCCTACCCTCAGTGTCCTCCTTGGTTGGTTTGAGTGTCTGTCGTCTTCTCATAACTTTAGCTTGTTCCTTCTTCTGGATCCTGGTGATGGGCAGCAGGAGGTCACGATCCCAATCTCCCGGTGGTAGAACCATGGTGTCATTCAGAAACTCACTGATTCCCTTCATAATGTCGTGCTTGTCTAAACCAGTGTAGGCTATGTCACGAAACACCTGCCAAATTAATCGACAAACATTTTCTGAATAGGGGTAACATTTAACCAGCAGGGGGCAACCACTGTTTTCTGTTTACAGATCACATTCGCACCCTTACGTAATACCAAGTTTAATAAAATTGCAAATGTAAACCCAAGACAACTGCAGATGAGCCTTCAGTTCTAAGATGGATTGTCTCCGAGACAAAATTCAATAATTTATCAATTGGGACAGAAGTAATGAGCTTTTTCTTTGTTATGCAATTACCAGATGTACCTGCAATACTGAAGGCCCTTAACATCAACTGTAGTTGAATCACAAGGTTCCATGTAAATGAACCTTTTCTGAATGTTGCCAGGCGGCACTCTTTTCACATGTAACTCTCAGGCTTTGTATATTCACCTACCTCATCTGAAAACAGTGTAGCCATTGCACGGCCAATTTCATGGTAGTCCGTGTCAGCAAAGCTAGGTCCAACCATGAAGAAAATGAATCGTAATGGGGTAGGCACTTCAAGAAAGTTCTCAAACACGGTGGCTTCCTCCAGCCTGACTAGTGTCATGACAGTATCCTCAAAGGCATCATCTGTGGCAACCATGACAATCGCTGCCTCTGCTCCAGCGGGGATCTTCCTCATGATAGCATCGCCGTGAACTGTTAACCGTCTGCTCAGTGGTGTGTCAGGGTTACTGTTGTTGTTGTTCTCCAGCATTGATATACGTACCTCATCAGCCTGATAAATATGGTTTAATAAGAATCAAACTTCAACTTGACAAAAGTAACAAAACGTTTTGGAATGAGCAGTCCAAATCTCAAGGGAATGTCAATTTTCAAATTTCTTGTGATTTTCAAGTGAATAATTGAAAATCACGCCTATAAGACAAACACAAATTCTAAGGCAATTTTTAATGTAAAGGCCGTGTTGACTGACTTTTTCACTTTAAAAATGCTTTATCCACAGAAATGTTCAAGTTGTCAGCTCAAACAATTATTCCCCACTTTTATTTCATTATTTTTATTAATTTTTAAAATTTGATGGTGCTGCGTGACAATAAGCAGAAAAGTCCTGCTTACTATAGCAGAAAATGTTGTTGACCGTAAGCACCATTTCATGGTGGTACCTGATGTGGTTGTGCTTATGGTTGTGTGTGCATAGATATTTCTGTTGTTTTGTCACTATGTTAAGTGTGCCTTTTGCCATGCTTCCTGCTTGTGGTCTTAATGAAAGACAAAAAAGAGTCCCTGTTTAGTGTAAAATCATGTGCTAAGCAGCACCATAAAACTGGGCGCTGATGATGGCACATTTTCCCAACCCTTGAGAGTTACTGGACCAACAGGCAATGACAAACTCTGATCAGGCATGACATCTGACATTGAAAGAACAAGAGAAAAACATAACAACTATAGTAAAGGATGCCGATAACGAAGGAAATAGTAGGAAATGAAAGGGGAAAAAACACTGACATCCCTTTTAATTGGAAACATACCAAGCCTGTCTAACTCAATTGTTGTTCATTGCTCGTCACCACAAACAGAAACATGTTTCAAGATCCATGACAGCATCAATGCCATATGAAATTACCAGGGTACAAAAAAATCTGATAAGTCCTTGGTGAATAATCTAATAAGGAAGCAGCGATTACATAAGATGTCTGGTCAGACTGTGCTGATCCTGTTTGACAAATGGAAAAAAATTCAACCTTGTTGATCCACATAAAAGCTGTGTAGGTTGGATTGGCTGGGTTTTCAGAGGGTGAAGGCCTTGCATGGAGTACTTGATTCAACCAAATCCAGAGCTGTAGAGAAGTTTTAGTTAGAATGTTTGTATTTTAGTGTACATGTATGACTCAGCCTACGACTCTATCATGGTAGAACTGTCAGCACAGCTTGTGAAATATTTCCACTTTGTGAAATATTTCCAACATGTGAAATATTGTTGAACACAAATTGGATGCAGGAGGTACAAAATCTGAGACAAACAAAACCCAATATATAAAATTCCACAGGGTGGGGGGCGGCTCACTCGCAAACAGTAACAGTCACAGGTTCTGTGAGGATGGGTTAATTAATAATTATTGGAGTTGAATTCTCAAAGAAAATCTTATTTGAAATATAACTAAACTTTTTACATTGGGCAAGCATCTTTGGTTCTCTGATTTACAAATGCTATGAACTCTTTTTCACACAACCTCTTACTTTTGTAATCACAACATTTGTCCATTCATGACATCGTGTGGTAAACGCTGTTATCGTTATGGAAAGCCTGATTTTTGTCCTAAAAACTTTCCAAGCCATAACTCATAATGCAGAGGTGGTCATAATTCAGTTTGGATGCTAGAATGCACCTGCACCCAGTGACTGGTACCGGTAATTACTAGCCATACAAACAGGCTTCTCTTACCCCGTTGGCATGGTTATCAATAGAAGGTGACAGGGCTGTGGCGTTATTGACTGGCGGTGAGGGAGTAATGAGAGATGTCTTGCGTGATGAATCTGACGTGGCATACATGGAAAGACGTCTAACAGAGGCTTGAAAGAGGCTCGTTTGTTCCATAGGATTCCTGTCAGGGAAACAGAGAAGTAATACCCTCAAAGCTGAGTGGACTCAATACGCCAGCCAAGTGATTACGTCGTCATCCAGGTCCGATGGTCTGCATTGACACGGTAACCGGATCATGTGCTCTAGAGTATACATGGTGGTTTCCTACAATGGTATTACCTGCACAAATCTTTGTAATATTTCAAAGCTGGTTGGCTTTTTTCCCCAGTTTGAAACCTAAAGAAAAGACATGTGATGCTTTCATTGTATAATTACAATCACCAGCAAAACAATTCACCATTGTGGAGCAAAAAATAAACGCAAATATTTGCTAGAAAAAACTGATACATTTTGTGCACTTGTTCACGATGAGTGGCTGATCCAGTTGTTATGCACAGTGTGTGATCCGTCGCTAGGGAATTTGTGGTGACCTAGGTCAGCATGAGGCTTTGTTGGCAATGTTTGAGGGAAAGGCCTCAGAACAAAGGAGAAAAGAAGAAATCAGAAGTAATAAGGTCATGTTTAGGGGAACAGCTTCAATTTAAAGCAGTGTGCTTAGGGAAAAATATGAAAGCAAAGGGCAGGGAACACTTGCTCTGGTGAAAGGACGATACAGGTATTCATAGCTAACGGAACAAAAAAATTGATCTTTAAGATCTTATCAGTGAGGCTGCTATGCAAAAATCCATTTTTGTGGGTTAAGACTAATTCTTTATGACGGGTGCTTACTTGCGAGCTGATTGGTGGAGCATTCGTAAAGCCAATCCATGTTGCTCTGGTTGGATGAGTTCAGCATTTAACATTCCTTCCACCATGGTATTAAAGATTGCAGGGAGCTGGGTCTCTGGTATATCCAGTAACACCAGACCTGTGATAATCACAAGACAAACACCACAATACACCTTACTCACACCTTACATACAGGGACGCCATGTGAATAAGTGCCATTAGGGCCGTTTTCCAATACTCAACTTCGGCTACGTCTCAGGCTTCAACTGTTTTTTTAATACCTGACTCTGAAGCTGTAAGCCCACTAATCTGTCTAATAGTGCCACAAAACATCAAATAAGATGCAAGAGAGCAAAGACTTACAGTAATCAAATTTGATTTAAACGTTTCAGGCCCACAATCGGGGATTGGTTTCGGGGACGAAGCCTGAGACAGAGATGAAGTTGAGTATAAGAAAACGGCCTAGGTCTCTCATACATTGATATATTTTGCAGCAATACTTGACTCTCTTGCTTTCTTACCTCACTTAAGGGTGTAGCCATTCCAATCACAGATGTTTGGTAGAGGTATGACCGATTGAAGAATGATTCAAACCATGCAAGCATTGCATTATTTATCAATTTACACCCATCTTGATTTATGAAGATTTTAATAACATACAAGCTCACCCCCTCCCCTGAAGAAAAGCACTTTGAAGATGAAATGAGGACAAGCTGAATATGAATTCACACTTACAGCTGGAGTGGGATTGGTTTTAAACCCCAAGCCACAGATTATTAGGATTTCTTCTTCAATTAGCTTAGTTTTAAACCCCAAGCTACAGATTATTAGGATTTCTTCTTCAATTAGCTCCTCGGAATCTTCCCCAACTTCTGCGAGAACAGTCATCAGATGTCAGGACCACTCACCATGCTCAAGGCCTTTCCTAAGCTGAGGAAGACTGTTGAACGTCAAGGATGCCACGTGAGGCTTGCCCCATCGACCTGACCCTTCCTCACGATCCTCTTCAAACTTAATCCATCGTGCCTTCTCCTTCCAATATATGCTGCTGGCACCGATGCCGGCAAATTGCTCACTGCGTTGAAGTTCATCAAGCTCCACAAATAACTATCAAGTAAAAGTTCAAATCAAGACTCGGCCAAGTCTCAAAAGGTGCTGCACAGCAATGTGAATGATGTTACTGCTGTCACCAAATGTCTACAGTTACACATGTTAAATTGCCTCATTCAGCAATTAGTATTTATTGTCAAATGTTCTTGAAATAGACTTAGAAGTAATTTTTAAAATGACACATTTTGGAAGACCAACTTTGATGAGTGCTACTTCTAATAATAAATCCAGGGAGACAAAGTTGAAATGTAAAATCAAGTTACTTCAGCTTCCATGTCAATAATGAATATAGGATTCCTGCACCTTCTGCAATGGGTCCTATTGATTTGTTTCCAACAGAGAGCAGAAGAACATTGGAAACTATATTCAAGCAAACTTGAATTCTCAATTCTGATTGGTCGATCCATGACAACAAACAGTATGACATATAATTGTATTGCACGGTTCATATCAAACCCTGTGTAATGCACTATTCTAACTCAATGCAATGTGCAATTTTTATGCTAACAGGACAAAGACACGGGGATACAGGACTCGGATGCCCCATGTTATTCTTGCTCAACGCGCCCCTCGTGTGATAACTAATACTATGTCAACACTAAATGCAATACCTCATGTGGTTTGTGGCTGCGTGTTGAGGGGTAACTCAGTGTTCGTGAGGATGGCGAGGGTGTCTTCAAAATCTTGGATCGCCGTCGATTGATTCCAACATCGTCATAACGATGACCTTTTGGGTGAAAAGCATACAATTTGTGAGAACAAAAAAATGCTTTTCAATGCATCAAGATAGCAGGTGTGAAGTCAATACAGGTTAAATGACAATAAAGCACAGACAACAAAAACGGTTAGTTGATGTGTACTTACCAATAGGTAACCCACAAAGTTGGCAATATCTTAACAATAAACTTACCATTTATGGTTCAGAAGTCTCATCATACTCGTCAAAGTGGTCTAGACCATATCTTTATTATTCAATTCCACTAAAATCTAATTCATATATCCTTGCAATTTGTTCTAAATTATCACCTGCAAGGTTTTGTTTAGCTCTGTTTAGTTTTAATTAGTCAGTTTTTTTTTCAAAAATCAATTGCTCAAATTTTACAAAACTTTAGTCACTCTTAAGATTTAATTTTTAAACCCCAAGTATGTTAATAGAATAAATGACAACATGGGGGTAAGGAATGTCACTTTTTAAGAATAAGACAAAATCCATCTAGAAGCATTAATGGATGTCCACTTCTCATCTTGTCAATCTCTTTCTTTAGAAAGAGATCGTATCTCTTCCAAGTAGCAACCACATGCTGTGTCTCTTAAGATAGCATTTCAAGAGCTTCTATGGGTGCTCCCTGGATGATCTTGAAGTCAGCTTGTTCGAATAATGCCCTAGGAGTGTCTAGTCTAACTCCATTTTACAATCAGATTCAGCCAGAAACAGCAAGAAAGAAAGGCTTCATAAAACTATTTGTCACCTCCTAAAACAATCTATGAGATCTGTATCTATGTAAGTAAATCCTTACATCCTGTTTTTATGAATTAACCTTGGATGGACAGATACAAGGAAACCACCTTCGTCGTCACGAAGATGAATCACTGGGTTTGCTGAACCCAACTTGTTTTTTGACTGGTTTAGGGCTGGGATATCTGTCATTAGATTTCTGTGGAATCTTGTCAGGAAGGAAATAGCACAAACAGTCGTGTGTTGAGGGGCGGACACAGGATTGTAGATCACATGTTGAGATGCAGGAATCTTGATGCACTGATTCAAACCAGTCATCAAAATGAAAAACCTGTAATGCAAGGTCCAAGTTGAAAACTGGTTTGAGATTTGAGAGCAAACCCTGAATAGATTTAACATTGAAAACCTACATCCAGGATACATGCGCTTTGATCAAGTGTGATATGTGCGCCTGTTCAATGTTATCTGAACAACTAGCACAGCTGTGCCATTGGTTAGATGGAACAAAAATGTCCTACAAATAGCCAAGACTGATTCAATTTCTAAGAGCCGACAATTCTAAGAACGCACATTTGAATGCTTTTATTTGTCCCCTGCAGAGCACAGCACTCCACCATACCATAAACATTATGGGAACCTATCATAGAAGGGTTTGTAATAAAAAGCAAGACTGATGAAAGCCCAGTCTGCCGTGGGCTTCCTAGCATAGCTGCGTACATTTATATCATCCATCCCTAGAGACTTAAACAGATCCTTGGATGAATTAACCAATTGATCAAGACAACTTCTGGCCTCTGGTAAAACCGTACAGCAATGGAAAACACTGAATCTACAAAGAAACATGAATATGTCTAATATGAGTCTACAACAATAGCATTTAATACTTTGATCTTCATCCTACCCGAACTAAACCAGGTCACCTATCCTCAATACATGTACATGTATGTCCCACCATGACACATCCAACTCCTGCATGACTTGAGATGGAACAGCAGATCTGTTCATCGATGATGCTGCCCAAGTTCCCATTAGATTCAATTCTTTCTCCAGGTCTTGCTTTATGCTCAATGCTTGCTCAAAAGGTAGACCAGTTTCTGCCTGACAGGCATATGATGGATTTCAGGAAATGCTGGACAGCTCAATGTTGTAGCAAAGACATTGTCCGTACAGATTGCTAGATTGCAGCACGAAGATACCACTCAGTCAGGGAACGACTGATTATGTGATCTGTCTGCTTCTCAGCCCCTTAAGACACGAGCCACAGTCTCAAGACATTACATGGTTCCTCTCAGCCCTGATATCAAGATATCACGCTACTGCAAGACTGCAGATTGGTTGATTAGAGTGAAATTGAAAGCAGGATGGAAACAATCTCTTTTCCTTGCAATGTCAGCTAAGCTAAGGGGTCATTCCCTAACTACTGTACTTGGAATTGGTTAGAAAGTACCATTGTGTAGTGTAATTTTATAAGGAATCTAGATTCATGATATATTGGGTTGACAGACTTTTCAACTCCTATCCGTACACCAACCAAACTAAAAGCCAGAGTGATGCATGCAGACTTAATTTGTGAATGAAAACTGCATTACCATCTTTAACGCTAATTATAATTATGGAAAATTTGGGGGGAAAAGTCCAAACAAGAAAAACAAAAAGAAAAAGACGCAAACCAAACCATTCTTTATGCAATGGTTGCACAATTACAAACAAGCAAGTTTGACAAATTCATCTTGCCGTGACTTGATGATGGTAGTACACAAATACATCTCAGAAGGGCATGCATTAACGAATGAATGTGACTTACAGGAAAAGCAAACTAACAGAGCTTCATAATGGGCATGAACAACAAAGTACCTGCAGTTATTTTTAAGAAATTCTGTCTATTGATTTTCATTTTAGTTTAAATGCTCCACAGCTTCCTGGGTTATATATCTTCTCTTACGATTTCCAATCCAAAGTTTTTTCCCTGGTTATTTTAAAACCTTATCACGTGAATTCAGAGATTTGCGTTTTCAAATTTTGTTCATCAAAATCAATTTTGTGCACTTGCAACATTTCATTTCATCATTTGCCAAATAATTTTAACTGTTGTTGAATCAAATTTGACCCATAAGCCATTTCATTTGGTCAACGTCGAGCCATGTCATTCAGAAAAAGAAATTCATCTTTACTGACAAAATTCTGTTCAACTAAAACAAAAAATCCTCTGTAGAAAGGTCACGGTTACAGATAATTTTCCACGGTTTCTCTATTGTTTCCTTGTAATTTAATGAATGAATTTCCTTAGAAACAGGCTAGACCCATTCTAGGTGCACAAAAAGCAACAGGAGGAAAATGAGGATCATCAAAGTTTTTGATGCATTGCTATCATTTCCTCCTTTGGATTTTTTAACGTAAAAGAACTTTATGGTTTTTTTGGGTGGGGGTTCGGGTTAATATTCTTTTCTCTGTTGTTAATCTACTGCGCTGCATCACTCTTGAGGATGCAAGGAAATGCTCTGCACAGAAAAGACATTTACTTTGCAAATGTATTAATATTTATGACCAAGAAAGATTTGCTACCATTCAGACATTTAGATGAATTTAATTTTCAGTGAAAAATATTCTCCAGAGTCTTCAAATGCAGCAACAAAACTTTGAAACTTAATAATAAATAACCTACTCAGTTTGTCCACTGCATCTGAAATTCCTCTTGGACGAATTTGAACATATGAATTGGTGAACTGGAATAAAAAACATTTCAATATAACATGGAAAGCCTACTAGAAAATGTATTTTTTAATCAGATATACTTGCAGCCCTTAAATTAAATGTAGCTTCATTGATAATTCTCACAATCTTAATACATCTTTAAATTTATTAAAACTTTTGAAAACAAACCCAACACACAAAAACAAAAAAACCCACTGCAGGTGAAGCTGACCCACCATCACGATTGCAGGTCTCAAGGTTTGCTCACCTGGCGAGCTATATTTGGCTTCCAATTTGGGATGTTTCTGGCTAATCTTGGGACTATCCTCAGTATGATGCAAAATGGCATCTGCATGAACACATGGATGATGAAGTTAACAGAAAGCAAGCACAGAATGAAGACAAGTGCTTGAAGCAAACAAAAACATGATGCAATGTGAGGGTAGGTTAATGAGGGGCGGGGCATGAATAAAGAGGGGCCAAGTGGGATTAATATCTTGTCCTTTCAAGTTTCTGCTTCCATTTGCACCAAGGTGAATGTTTTATCTTCCTGTAACTTTCTTTTACATGTTCCCCTTCCATATTCAACAAAATTCAAGGATTTTTATGTTCAACTTTCAAATTTGACATCATACAAACCAATATTAGGAAGGAATATCTGTCTGTCCTTTAGCATATATTCTTGGGTTTACACTCTCTTAATGTTGATCTGGCTATGTGAAAGAATCAAGGGGATTGGCATACAATGATGTAGAAGTAAGGATGCAAGACAAGGCAGAGCTAAAACAGTTTCATGAGTTCCAATTACAGCAGTGTGAAGATGCCTTTCCATATGCACGTCAACACTTGCGCCAAGCGTTGCGTATCTGTCAAAATCGCTCCAGGAGCAATTTTGACAGTCAAACGTAATGCACGCATGTTTTATGTTAATGGGGTCGATTTTTATGTACATGAAATTTTAAAGCACGAATGCATCGTGTACGTAACGTACCCAAAAGCGTACGTATTGAAAGCCGCCTTTAGTGTGCAAATTTTGCAACATCTCAAATTTTTCAGTACATCAATCAATGGTTTTGCCAATGTGGAGCTGACCAGTCCAGATGAGTCAACCTACTGCTAGCTAATTCAACTTTAATTACAAGTTATCTTACTGGTAAAAGTTAGCAGATGACCAGCAGCAGTGAACTAATCCAGCCACCTCAATATGAAATAAGTGCCAGTCTTGAGCCTGATTAATCCAACCATAGGACCATGATCAATCCAGTTGCCTATACTCTATCTACCCTGAGTTGAAGTGCACCCTCACCGCCGAAAGAAACACAGGCCGATACAAAGTTTTCCAAACAGGTTCTGTCACATGTTTGGTGTGCACACGAAGACCACACATTCCAGCATAAATTTGTTGCGCATACTCAGCATGCCTCGTGCCAAACAGGCATAAACTTGCGCGCCTATGTGGTGGGTTTGTACCAAAAGACTGTCAGTTTCATTAAAAACATGCCCTCTTTTGTTCCTGCTCTGAGCGGATAAGCATCGGTGGCTCTCAAGCTCACCAGTTCCAATCATGACCTGCAGGTGTCGCCTACTGTCCAAGATCCATATCAACAGCTTACATGCATGTACCTCAGACAGCAAAGTTTCACTGCTGGTCACCAGTGGTGACTCATCAGCATCAGTTACATCATCCGATGCATGCTGATTTCATGCAATCTGACACACATTCAATACTGTAAATAAACTTCAAACAGTCAACTTATGCCAAGCTGAACTTTTCAGGGGTCATTTCATTTGAAAGACCAAGCACTTCTCCTTCAATCCAAGCACATGGGTATTCTACGCTTGGGAAGCCCCTCCTAATAGCTGCATCCATGTGCCTGGTACCGGTTATGGCAAATTATTTCCAACTATGAAGGGGCCTTGCCATATGCACGTCAACACTTGCGTCAAGCATTGCATATCTGTCAAAATCAATCCCGGGGCCCTTTTGACGGCCAAATGCAACATACATGTGTGCTACGTTAATAGCGTCAATTTTGGTGTCTGTGAAAGTGAAACGGATGAACACATCGTGTATGCAATGCACGCAAAAAAGTTCATTTGGAAAAGTGCCTTTAAGCTTACAGAAGGCATGATTCATTATTAATTAAGGGCTCAGTAAGTCCAGTTATTACCAGGCTCAAATAGGTTTGTCTAGTCTTACGAGATTCATCAACACTGATACTTGTGAAACTTCAGATCTGTTGACTGACTTGTTCAAAGCATTGTAATGAAGCCACGGTGTTGAGTATCACTGTTCAGACTTCTGCGATCATTACTGTTTACAGCCATTACTGGTACTGATGTTGATAGGAAATTTCCTGATCTCACATTCATAAAGCACTTGTTCTCAAAGGCGTTTGCATCATTATATAAATTCCAAGAAATGAGAAACACACACAAGGTAAAGGTGAGCACAGCTTACCGGCGTAAGAGAAAAACTGAGAAAATGCAACTGCCAATTCAAATTTCTGAAAGGGTGGTTTAGAACAACTGAAGGAGAAATACAGAGGAAGGAGACTTTAGAAGTGTCAGAATGAAAGATCAGGGGGGAAAAGAAAATGTGTACCATGAAATACTGCTGCAAGACTGATCACTGAAGGCACTGTTTGTAAAACCAAGACTTACCTGCAAGGTGATATCAGCTACAGGTCAACATACATATTTACCAGAAGCGTCAGTGTAATTCTTAAACTGCAATTTTATTCCAGACAGAATCTTCCTACAAGTACAAGCGCCTCCTTGGGAAGCAGTGGTAATCTTAACCACACAACGCACCACTTGACTCTACCTACCCCTGCTGATAAGTGCATGTTTCTTGGTATATTTTCTTCCTGTAATGTTGGATTAAGCCACAACTTACAGGAATGTCAATTCTAACCGCTTATATTCCGCTGATATCCAACTGCGAAAGTTAAACTGGCGCACACGGAAGACAGAGACGTAAACTGATAGACATACAGATGGACTTAGAAACCAAAAAATGATGAGTTCATGGTTAAATGAAGCTGTACAGAGACTATGACTATCAACTGTAACGCTCTGCATGTAATCTGGTTAATGAAGCAAGCACTTCCACATGTTGCACAGTGTAAAAATAATGTCCTCAATGGAAGAACGGTGGTACCAACTCTGACAGTTAAGAATCATCCCCCCCCAAAAAACAAGAAATGCTGGCAAGGTATAAGTACAGAACAGAAGTATGCAGAGAAGGAATGCTTCATTTGTAATTTCAACTCCAAACTGTGAAACTGTCCTATCATGTAAAAAGCTTGCCAGCTAAAATATTTTGTTCAATGGGATTTTTATTGAACAATAAGATGTTAAAGAAATAAGGTCAGTTCATGCTTCAGGCGAATGCAAAAGTGAAGCAAATTTGACATCACAACAACTTTGTGGCAAAATTTCGCTCAAATTGAAATGTATTCAACTTTCATGAATTTGTCAACGCGAATATTTGATCTGACATCACAAATTCCTGCTCACTTTCACATTCGCACAAAGTACGTACCGGCCTGTACTCTTCAAGTAGATCTGTTAATGAAGCATTATCTACATGCAAGAGAGTTTCAAACTTTGTTAGTGTTATGACAGATCAAAACAGGATTACAATCATTCAAAGACAAGTGTCAATGTTAGTGCAGTAATTCTGAAAGAAGAAGGGATTGAGGAAGATGCTCTCATATTGTTTTCTACATGTATGCCCCATCAACTCAACTGTGATTTAGTTTCCATAGTGTATGACGACCACTAAAGTCACTATGAATACCCTTAAAGTCCCATATTGACTGGTTTGACACAATTAAAATTCTAGAGCAGATAATTAGGATGGACAAGTTCGGAAATGAAAGAGAAAAGGAAGGATGGAACATGAGAGTATGGATAGCAAAGAAAAGCAAAAGACAACAGAGAACAGGTGTGCGAGATATAGTCTGGAGGATGGCTTAATCAGGCTAAATCTTGACTGGAGTTGAGGTTCAGGTGTAATTATATAAGGTATTAACATTCAAAATCTGCATTTCAAATACATGCATTCAAGATGCGGCATCCACAAGCAAGCAATGCTTTATACTGCCAAGAAGAATGAGAGTTCCATCTTTACCCTGGATATGATGGGATAACCATTCCCGCTGATGTGACTCCTTAGGTATGGCGTTTTTCTGGCTACCTGGCACCTGCAAAAGACTTACTGAGCCCTTTTTATCATGAGCACTTGGCACACATTCATCGTCCAGGTGAAAACTTAGCCGAGGCCTGTCCTTTCCCTTTTGGCAATCTCCTTCGTTCTTGCGTTGCCAAGGATGTTGCTCTTCCTTTTCTTTCTCGTCCTCATTTTCTTCCTTGTCGTCGTCCACCAGCAAAAAATTGATGGTAGGTTTAAGGACTTGAACGCGGACATACTCACTTGCGATTCGCTGTAAGGCATGCTGGTCGAGACTGCAGGCCTCCTCCAGGTCTGTTACCTCAGAGAGTTGCTGAGGGGATGCGGGCCCATTGTCAGAGAAACCCTCATCCTGTCTGGTCTCCGCATGAAGAGGCGGAGAATGGAGTCTTGAAGGTTTATGTCTGTGACCAGAAGACCTTAAGAGTTAACAAAATCACACTGGAGTCACACTGTTACAAAACAATTACAACAAGTTAAATACACAGAGAAAAGAAGTGTCCAATACCTATGATCTGTAATTTAAATGACAGGTATGTGAGTCTAATGTCACAGAATGAGCTGAGCTGATGTTCAGTGATGGATAAGAAAACTGTTCACAGGCTATTAATTAAAGAGTCTGATTATTTACCTATGTAATCTTTTAACTGATTCTTCTTTTGAAGTCTGAAAAAAATAAATATGCTTCAGAAAAGGAAAAATTCATGGTCATTCTCTGTGACCCGGGTTGGCAGTTTTTTTTAACAAGAGGAAAAACAGGATTTTGAAATATTCAAATCAGATTTTTAAAATTTAAATCGGATTTAACATTTTTTTGTTTGGTAAATTGAGGACGAGACAGCCTCACTCTCTATTCCAAAACAGGCAGATTAGCTGTATATGTGTTAACTTTCCCTATATTTCTTTTGTTACAAAATTAAACAAATTTGTATTTAAATTAAGAGTTTCAAATCAAGATATTTGATTAAAACCATACCTTGGCAATTAAATATTGTCTTAGCCCGAGTAAAACACATGCAGTATATAGCACCTACATGTATCTACAGACAGTAGTTCCAAGGGTAAAGTATCAGGTTTTAACTGATGAGTTTTGTCAAACCTATGAATAATAAAACCTTTGAATGTGAGTTACCTTTTGGATTTTCTGTAGCTTGCACTAGGTGTGTATACAGGAGACAGTCTCTGGTAATGAGAAATTAAACGACTAGTTTAGAGACCATCTTCTGTACTCTGTACAAACTTGTGATTGTGTAAAGGACAAGCAATATACAGAAAAAGGATGGAGTAACTTTGACAAGTTCTTAGCACTTGAAAACTGCGAAGGTTTTTTCCTCCAATTTGTTGAATTCAATCCAAATAACATTCACTGCTGGTACACTGACATTGTGCAAATGCTTCCATGAAACATCTGTCTCTCACACAATCTATGAATCTTTAAAAAGCTGTCAGTTTGGATGTATGGCATGTGTAATGCAATATCAATTTATTCATTTGATTTTCCGTATCTTGAAAAATATGCTGCAATAAAGATGTCATCATGCAAACTCATGCATGGAATAATCGTCATTAACATGTAAGTAGTAATCAAAAAATGCTGCATGACGGTTTTGCAAACATCCTAATAGACTGAATCATTCAAAGTTTAGTAGATATTTCATTCACGGTTGATCAGCAAAGATACTTTGCTGTAGATGATGCCTGACAAATGGAACAAGAAGTATAATTTGTTAAGTTATTCCTCTGATGCAAGCTTCCCAGAGAGGTGACTCATGGGAAGAAGGAGTGCCTTCAGACAGCTTAGTGAAAGAGCTTGAACGAGAAATAAAAGGACCAGTTAGACTGGTCTCACTGTCATCGACTTCACGTGTTCTTCCAAACATACCATCTCACAAAACATCTCGGTTAATGCAATAAACTGAAAGTTTTTAAAAACGCACTCCAAATACAGAGCAAAAAAATTCACTCATGACTAGGAAAGGTTCCATGTGGGTAACGGAAGATTCATTACTTAACTCAACATAAAGACCGTCCGATGACTTTATTCGATTTCTCACCTTTAATCTTTCTTCAGCTTCATCTTGTCCTTCGTGTTCCCCTTGCTGACTCTTTTCATCATCTTCTTTTATCCGTAAATCCAGTAGCTTACCGTCTCGTTTCTTTCCATCCTCATCCTCCTTGTCCTCTTCAACGTCAGATTCTTCAACCTCTCCATCCTTGTCCCTATTTCTTGTCTTCAAGACAATACCCGCCTCATTATCAACCTCCTCCTCTTGTCCCTGCTGATATTCTTTCTGATGGTTCGTGACATCACTCTCCTCAATTAGTGTTAATGGTTCTTCAGCAGTTTGAGATTTAGTCAGACCTGGCGTGTTGCCGCTCAAACTGTTTTCTGGGACGTCTCTACCTAAGGAGAATCGTCTAGAGTTTTTGGGCACTCCATGTACTGTGACTGACCGTCTCCATTGTAAACCCCCATCACGGTAAGGTTCCCGTAAAGATTTTCTGTAGTGAGTTCGGTGACTCAGAGAGGGTGTGGCTCTATGACCTGTTGGAGGAGGATATTCAGACAGGGAGACATTCACAAGAGGCAGCCAATTTGTCCCTTGTTTCCACATTTTGACAGTAAATTGGAAGCTTTTTGAAATGTAAACACTGGTATCAAAATCCCATAGAAAAACCTTTCCAGTGAGCAATCAGAGGTACACTATTTGAAAAACTAAGATGTCAACACTTGTTCAAAAGGGGACTTCAGAAGTTGAATTAAGTTAAAGAAAATGATAAAACTGCATGAAAATTAGCTACTGGCAAGTGAAATTAAAGTGTGACAGTTGAATTTTGTCTTATCCGAAGATTGACCCTCTCTCTCAGGTATTCCATGTGTGTATACCTACCGGATGATTCCCACTCAGCACCCTATGAAATCCACATTTGTGGGAGACCAGTATTTTAGAGGCTTAATTGATGATATGATGGCTTATTAGTGACTCTTCAGTCTGACAAATCAGGCTGTATAAACATTTCCTAGACAATCAATCTATTTCAGTACTGAAGGCCTAAGGAAGGATGGAATAGAATAGCTGCAGGGTGTTGGTTATGACTACAATGGCTGAAGCAAAATGGTCCATTAGTGAGACAGGATGAGGATGGGCCATTGAATGACAGGTTTGCCTCAGGAGTAAAGAGGAAAGAGAGCTGTTGGTGTGTACATTTGGTCAAGGAGCCTGAACGCCCACAGGCAATCCAAGTGTGACTATCTGACTGAATAATGTGCATACTACAGCTGTAAAGATAGCTATGAGAATTACACATACAAATTGGATGGTGGGAAGGTGTCAAGTTAAAGTCTCTTTTACACACATTGAAGTCATTCTGCCGTTTTACTTGAATTTTATGAGGGATGACAATCAACAACGACATGCAATTAATACTGACGACTGAAGTTGTTTAATTAAGAGCGCACTGCTCTGTAGCGACCACCGTTGGCAATTTTTGTCTCTGCATTTTTCTTTTGTAAATTGGAGGTCATGGGTTGGAATCCCACCCATCCCAACTGGTGCATTTTTTTTCCAACAAAAATTCCCCAGAAGTACTTACCGTACAGTGCACAATAAATTAAGACAACAAAGAAAAAAAAAGATCGATGCAAACTTATATCAAGATATTAGACTGCTTTGAACCCTGTAGCCAAGAGGTCATGGAACTGACTGTACCAAGCTCCTGCTGAACACTCCTCACCAATTTCCCCTCCCTACCCAAGGGAAAATGCTTAATATGGGTAGTGTTGTCTAAGGCGTGATGCTTATTATAGCACTAACTACATTTGGCCACCTAGGATCTCAAATACCTACTAGACAATCGGACGAACGTCAGTCATTAATGAACCAATCTTGCGGGAGTGTATGAGCTCACTGGCAGAGTGGTTATTTCTTTCTCAAATTCTTACAAATGGGTAATTAGGAAGACATTTTGTGGTAAACTTTTTGACCTAGGGAGACATCGGTCATTAGGGAGACATTTCAATGTCTCCCTACTGCCCCATCTACCAGAAGGAGGCCGAATTTTATCGTCCAAATTTTGAGAGATGATGGGTTAGGGTCTAAATTGAAAACATGCAAAGTTTGGTTCAGATCAGATTAGGGAATATTTAATTATGGGACAGTAAAGTTTGTGCACGTTCTTACGGGAATGTCTCCCAAGTGACCCATTTTTGGTAATGTAAATAACCTTCAGTATGATTCTGGTGTTATAAACCTTGTTTGAATGTCTAACACTTAAATGTTTCCTTGACTTGAAAAAGTACAAATCAAGTGAGCTAATTACGCCCAAAAAAATATTAGTTGTGCTTCCTATTTACACTGAAAAATTTATGTTGCATAGGTGGGTAGTATCTTTGTTTTCTTTGGGGTAAAATTTTTTGGGAATTTTTCTTTATGTTTAATTAAAAAGTTATTTTGATGGTCTACGGTGTACTCCATGCACTGTTTTTTCCCTCAGATTCGTAACTTGAGGATAGGTATTGTCAAAGATTGTATCCAAGTCAGAGCCTCTTTGGACAATTTGTGTTGCAGTGACATTTCAATGACTTCATTTCCAAAAATTGTATGAAAAGCGCATACAAAACAATGTAGTGTACATAGAGCACTTAAAACCCACGTGATGATGTACTACACAATCACTTGGTGCACACCACCCTAGTTGTCGGGAAACCCTCCACTGGACTAAGATTATAGTCCCCATACATGAATGTTCAAGTGTGTAGGCTGATAAACGTGTGAGATCATCTTAACACCATGAATTACAGTAACTAGTAGGACTCTACCGGTAGATGAAATCTGAGCTGTGCTGTGGGGCGTTTCAGTTCACTGGTCAGAGAGGATGGTGTAGTGCTCACTAGTGTCAAGAGGTGCTATTGGAAACTACCTTGATAAATCATCTCAATGTGAGCACCTCATTAACCTCAACTCTTCTCATTTAAACTACACTCAATGCAACATAATTTGTTAGATTAAATGCAGTAAACTCAACATAAGAAGACCTTCTTGGTCACGTTATTGGATAAGGAGGTGTTGAAGTAACGGATACTTGCCTGGGTTTGAAAAGAGACCCAGAGAAAACTCACAGAAAGGGTAGGACTTACTATGGAAGTCATATTCACTGAACCTGCGATTATAACGACCAGTAGCTTCAGTATCAAAGTCTGAGGGGCAGTATAACTGCTGTGAGAAGTTCTGTCTCAGTGGAACATCTCCAAGAAGTTTCTCAATTTCATCATGGTCCACCCTGGACTTGGAAGGTTTCTCACTCATTTGGACGACTGTGTCCTGTTGGGATTAGGGTAAATATAGAAGGAATTAATTAGCAAATCTTAGAAAAACTAAAAAAAAAAGGATATGCACAATAATTTCACCAACAAAATCACCATCGCGTGGACTTCCCTTTGGAGGTAAGGGAACTGCCAACTGCAAAGCTATATAAAGCAACACACCGGTATGAGCAACATTAACATTACCCAAAACTTTGATAACTGGAAGAAAAGGACATGAACAATAATCTTGCCCTCCAAATCATCATCACAGGACTTTCAACAGGGAGCCTCCAAATTCAAATTTCAAAACTGAATACTCGAAACTGAAGAGAAAAATCCAAAATTCAAAACTGAATACCTGAAACTGAAGAGAAAAATCTGAACCAGCCTTTTTCAGGACAAAAATTAAGTTGACAAGTCTGAAGAAAGCACTTTGCAGAGCTTGGCCTGTCAGCAGACACTGACGATGCAGAGGATTGCTGAGAGGTAGATAGCATTTGCAGCGTATCAGCAGAAGTTTAAAGTACACCTTCACATACGGTATGCCTGCATTGCATATGTATTAGAAGTGATTTAATCACCAGCTGTGATTTTGACTTTTGATTGGACAAAGTTTACCCTGCTGTCTGCACTCGTGGTAGGGGGTTGTGGGAATAGTGCTTGTTTCACATTTTCCTTGACCTACAAATTGTTTTCCCAAAGATCAGTCTCTTTGGGAAGGAATTTAAAAAAAGAACTGAGCTTATGCCCCCCCCAAGTCTCTGGTTTCTGGTCAAAGGCTGGCTCCAAGAATGATGCAGTGACACAGGTTTTCAGGGTTTTTTTTGCCCTCGGTTTTTTTTCCCTACAAGTGATGTCATCGCATGGCATTTACATGAGTTGTCATACATGTACATGTACGTCATATACGTATAACGCATGATGTCCATTGCGACTGCATGCATATGTACTGCTGCTGCCAATTAAACACTGAAACAGTCTGGCACCTTCACTTGTTACTGTTTAAAAGCATTTTCAGCTTGTAGACGTACACAGGACATAAGACCACCTCGTTTGTCTGGTTCCCAGATGTAAATGAATGATACAGAAATGACGTTACCTGAAAAAGAGTGCCAAACTAAATGTATGCAGGGCCTAGAGGAACTTCTTTCAGTACATATTACTCAACCATACCCCATCTAAAACAGATTAAAATTACATTACTGCAGGATTCCAGTCAATCAAGCAAGTTTAGCAGCTTTTAGAAATCGTATTATACCAAATAAAAAATGTTTCAGTTTTGCTGACATGCAGGTCTATGGCGATGAATGTGCTAACCTATATTGGTACAAAATTACAGGTGCATGTACCTCCAGTTGGTGAAATGTAATTACAACAACGTGATAAATCAGTGGCCATTTGGGAGTTTTCTTTGATAAACATGGATGCTTGAAAATAATCCATCACCCCATTTGCAATCAAAAGTTTATAATATTGCAGACTGCATGGATAAAAACTGGTTAGATGTTTAGCTTATTGGTTAGATGTTTAGCTTATTGGTTAGATGTTTACCTTATTGGTTAGATGTTTAGCTTACTGGTTAGATGTTTAGCTTATTGGTTAGATGTTTAGCTTATTCCACTCTGTTTATTGTACAGTTTGTGCAGGGAAAAGAGTTGAAAAAAATATAATTACAGGTATATCATAATCATGGACGACTGACAAACGCTGTAGTCACCATTTAAAAGAGGTATGCACTATTGAAATATGTATGCCACATGCAGAGTTGGAGTACTTGTACTCGAACATGAACTCGACTATAACTCGAGTATCAATAAGTACTTGGCCCATACTCTTAAAAGAAGTACTCGGCACATACACTGTACTTTTAATTTTGCACTCAAACTCATCCCTAAACTTGATAAACTGTAGTGGGTTAATTAACTCGATCCCAAACAGTACTCTAAAGAAATTGTTTTTTTCCCGATATTAATTCTTTGATACTTATCTTTGATCAAACATTTCACATTCATGTACATGTAAGCTACACGTTAGTCACGCAGTATTTTTATCGACTCTAAATGAAGTATTCATGAATGGGTGTTGGCACTTGGCAGTGCTCGCACTATTGCTGGTGAACATTTTTAACTAACAATGCAAATTTCCATAATGTACAATGTACTCGGATGTACTCGATTAACTCTGTACTCGTACTTGACCCAATTCGGACTCTGAAAAACTTGAACTTAGATTTTTGGCCCAGGACTCGATTAAAAGTACTTGGAACCGGCCCGCACTCAGCACTGTGTGTTCTTGGAAAACTTGGTACTCAAATTTTGGTGCTCGACTACATCACTGGCCACATGACACATGATTATTGTTGCTATTTGAATGGTGGACGATCAATATTGGAAACAAAAATTTTGTACCATATTAGTATCTAAAATATCAGTTCATGAATAGTACTGTGAATGAATTGCACCCACAATTATCTGTGTAAAAGAGAGAACTACGTGCAGTGCTTGAACCAACACGCGCACGTACTTCATTTGTTTGCAAAACACTTCCTGGTTCCAAATGACATCGTTCTTTGGTACTCTATACAGTGAAATGAATAAATAAATATTTACTGAACAATGAACGAAAGAACTGTAAGCATTTTAACTTAAACCCCTATAACCTTTCACTTTAGGGTTTATGTATCCTGTTGAAAACATGCTAACTGAGGATTTGCCTGCTCAGCAGGGGTTAGCTATAAAAGTGCATGGTCCCCAATGGGACATCAGTCATGGCAGATTACTGTCACAATGGAATTATACCAAGTTTTCTTTCCTTTATAATGTTAAACTATGCTGTGGAATAGGTCGTCTGTTGCCTGGACGATAGACTACCAAACAAGCTGTTGCAGTGTGAGTTGTGTTGAGAAAACAAAAATGTTGGACACCCTTCTACAGGGCACACAACAAAACGCAGAAATTAAGCAGTCAGGGGAAGGGCAAATAGAACTAAACATTTCACACAATGGGTTAGTCTGGCGTCAATTATTTGTGCTATGGTGTCAGACTGTAAGTTTCACAGTTGTACACTCCAAAAACTATTTCCAGTATAGAAATAGATCTCAGCCAGATTTTTTTTTTATTAATGTGACTTCAAATACAGCATATAATGGCTGCAGAGAAAGGACTACAAACATAGAAATGATAATCTTTTTTGTTTGTTTTGTTTTTGTGTCCCAATGCTAACCTGAACATGCATTCTGAACTTAAAACCAAAAGCAGTGTTTCCCACAAATATTTACAGAAACCTGTCTGCAATTTTGTACGCCAATTTTCTTTATCCAAAAATTAATTACAGGTGATTCAAGTCAAATTTTCTTTGTTTTATTCAAACACTTGTGACTTGATTCCATGATATGTGTCCTGAGAGAAGAAGTAACTCTGTTTAAGTATTCATTGGAATAATCTTCCATCTAATGCCCACATCAAGTCTCCGCTTTTCAACCTAACACACCTGTTGTATTCTAAGATTTTTTCCAATTAATGGGAATGAATGTTGAGCTCTTTTGTTTGATATAATTATTACTCTGTTTGGTCATTCTGATGAATACAGACATTGTGTGGGAGAAAAATGTTACGGGTCTGCCTTCCACTTTGGAGTGACTCTGGTGACTTGTGAGACATTTGGTTAGGTTTGGCCACAACTGGTGAAGAAATATCACAAGAGGAAAAATCCAATCTGGATCCTGTTTGATTTGGTCATTTCCAGTGTATTTGTGATATTTCCCCTGGCTGAAGACCTGGTTTAGATACCATCAGGTTGGAGATATGCTGTGTGAATTGAGAGTGTCCATTCATTTGATTGTAGGGGTTGTCTCTGCGTTCTGTGGCTCTTGATGCTCTTTTATGAGTGTCAAACCTTAAATGGTCTAGTTCCTTCCTCGGTGCCTTCCATCAAAAAGCTTCACCAGAAGGAAAAACAGTATTTTTACAGCTCTGATTAGGCCACCCCGTAAAGTTCTGGGATTAGGATGGTTTAATATCTACTTTCTCTGTACATAGATGACTAAATGGTTTTTATCTCTCAGGCAGTCTCTGCCAAACCGCTCTGACTAGGCTCATAGCTCTGCATGTTTCAGCTTCAAAGAAAATGCTAACATCAATTTGTTTCATTTCACCTTTTCACTAAGATATTCCTTAAACATTTTTGAAGCAGTGTCTACAGCCATACAGTTGAGCAAGTTCGTGTCTCAGTACTTCCTTCATGAAACCGGACTCCATGGAATCACTGCCTATGAAGTAAAAGTCCAAGAGGACTCAGTCAAGGTGAAGACCCATGGGTCTAGACTGTTCTCTTTATTTCTGGTAACAAGTCACGTCAATCTATGTCCAGGTACGATTTGTGTACATAATCCAGATTGCTCTTTTTCCCAAGAACAAATTCATATTTTGAAACAGCAAGAAGATTTTTTAAGCTTGCTTGGAACTTGTTTGAAGATCCCAGATATACTTGCCTAGATATTTCCATTCACAAAATCGGTGCCTTCAATTGTACTCTGAATATTTATCAAAATAATTCCTTGATAGCAATAGTTTTATTGTACCACCGGTAAGTGTGATAAATGAGACACGCTGTAGAGTGGCTTCAATGCGTGATCATGTTAGTACTTTATAATATTTGCCCCAAACGGTACCTCCTTCATATTTTTTCCATAATACACTATACTATACAGCATTCATTACTTGTATCCATGCACCATGGATAATTCTTTCCCGGCTCTTTAATCATCTGATGCACTTTTTTCCCCTGAATATCATCACTGCAAAATTTTTCAAATGAATGTTGTAATATATACATGTTCATGTACATTGTAAACAGGTTTGAAATAAATCACAGAATAACTTGTGCATAAAGACCACTGTGATTCTAGGACCAGCACTAATTCTAATCCCTTTTGATAAGCTACATGCACATGTACATGTACCTGTTGATATGCTTTCAAGGTGAGGCTTATCAGGAGTCGCATGTACCTTGGCATAC